GCCCAGGCGCCCAGGCGCCCACCCGGCCAGCCACCAGCTCTGCTGGGGCCGCCTACCCAGACCCGAAGGGAGACCCAGAAATGCAACCACCCTCTGGCCGACAGCTCCGGTGTCCCTGAGGACCCCCACGTGCTTGTTCTCACCCTTCCTCCCCGGTCCTGTCTGCTCCCCACGCAGCCCTCGGGTGATGGTGGCTGTGCTTCTTCAACAGACGGAGAAGCAACAGAGGTCCCGCCACAGGCTGCACGTCAGCTGGGGCCCCAGCGTTCGTGCCTACGCGCGGCATGAGCCTGCATGTGGGGCCGGCTGGGCGCCTAAGGTGGGCCCGCTCCTGCTCAGGGTCTCTTGAATCATCCCCCGCTTTCCTCTCCACTAGATCATCTCCAGCTGCAAAGACGCTGTAACTTCACCTTAAAATGCTTTAGGGCCCACCTGTCATCTGGACCAAGAGCACACCAAGATACCAGACATCAGAGCCAGGCACCCCCCAGGGAAACCTCAAGTCCCTGTGTGGAAAGGACTTACAGGTGACATCTTCCGGATCAGATCGTGGGCGACAACCAGCAGGTCCCGGTCCTTCAGCACTTTCCTGCGGAACTCGGCGACGTCCCCGGGGTGCAGCACCTCGAGCTGCTCGGCAGCCTCGATGACAGCCTCGATGCAGCTCCTCCACGAGCACAGCGCGGGGATTCCCGGGGCCACCGCGGCACTGACCCCGGTCCCAATGACCAGGAGCAGCTCCTGGGGCTGTTTCCGGATGAGGCTTTTTAAAAACTTTCTACTTAAAAAGAAGGCAGGCAGAGAATGCAAGTCAACATGGAAGTACTTCAGCCAGAAAGGGAAGCAATGCCCTCTGGGAATATATGCCAGGCATTGGGCCATGCGGCTGGTCCGGGACTCCCATTCCCCCCTGCTTTAAACTACTGGAGGATAATGCCTGTGCGTCATTCCTTTTTGTGTGTTTATTTTACACGTTCTGTCCTCATTCCATAAACAACTTGGAGACAGTTGTGTCTTAGTTTCCTTGAGTCCCCCAAGGTATTATCCACACATTTAAGTGACATACATTTGTGAACAAAAATTTCCTTATTTAATTCCTCTGAAGTTGCAGAGAGCTTGTAAATACAAACTGTGATGACAAAATGACCTCTGTTTGCAGTGACAGATAAGATTTCTAGCAAAATGCTGGTTTTCCCCAATTTACCAATCCCAGTCCATTCCAGGTTAAGCACCACCCCCCTTTGCCTACAACACTTTACAAGCATAATCTGGGGTCCACCTAGAGAATTCTGTGAAGCGGGGCACTCCTGGTCTCAGATGTGACCCTCCCATCACTTGTGGCTTGGATCAGACACCAGGTCATGGTCACTTTCACAGTGTAAAGAGAACTGCCTTCAGGAACGTTTCTCACATTGACACAAAGGCCGCTGAGATGCCCCCTGACCCGAAGGTCTCGCTTGGCTCTCGCCTGTGTGGCACCAATAACACAGGGGACCCATGACAGATGCCACAAACACAGATGAATGTGTCACGGCCTTTATTTACCTTGATTTTTGTTCACTTCTATTTGTTGTCTTTTCCTCTGAATCCATCTGTGAATCCTAAAGGAGAAATTAGTCAAAAGTGACTTCCATTCCCCAGATAAAAGTTATTTTGCTAGCACCCTGCAAGAGAGTTAAGGCTGGAATTACAATCAAAGGGCCTGGATCTTTAAATCCGAATACCTGAAAAACTTCATATATAAGAAAATATACATCCAAAATGCCTCTAAGCCACTGTTTCTCATTCTGTGTGGTGACCAGGCCAGGCACAGGTGGCTTCCTCGTGCTCTACACTGGAAAGAGAGGGAAACCAGTATACACCCAGCCTGGTTCTGCGGTGGCCTAACCGCGGGCTGGGGCAGGGGGTCCATGCCATCCCCTTTGTGACTATGCCAGAAGAGCTTCCAGCTGAATGAACATAAATGACTTAGCACAGACAGAAGAAAATGCCAAGTAGCCTAGCACAGCAAAGCCAAGACTTGGTCTTCCAGGGGGCAGATCCGTGCTCCCTGGGGTAGAGTGTTGTATTTGGGTTGGAGCACCATGTGCTCTCAGAGGTCAGGCCTTCCCGGGCCTGTACTGAAAGCCAGTCCAAGAAATAAAGGGTCAATCCTTAGCTTACATAAAACAGGAATCTTAAACCAGCTAAGTGTGTATTGCCAAACTATCTCCATATTCTACAATTTTTCCAGAATCACATTTTCCCCCAGTTCTAGAGCTAATATTTACTGTAAACAAGGAAATATACAAAAAAATAAAGTTTAAAAAGTCCATAATCCAAAAAAAAAGTCCATAATCCTACTAACCTATGAGCCATAAATAACTGCTAACATTTGTATATTTCCCTCTAGACTTAAAAAAATTTTTCTCATCCTTTGAGATGGTAGTTCATATCCTTTTCTCATGGATAATAAAGTACTTCCCTTGTAAAGATTCAGAAATACAAGTGTAACAGCTACATACCTGAAATTCTATCTTACTGATAAGCCATCATTTACTTTACCTATATCCCTAGTGAAAAACGTTACTGTGACACTCCTGACAACCATGTCTGTGCACCAAGCTCTTTATTTTGATATTATTTATTTAGGAGAGAATCCTGAGCAGAGTTGCTGAGTTACGGAATATGGGCTCTGTGAGGTGCCTCAGCACATACCGCCAAACCGCCCTCCAGAAAGACAGTCAGCAGAGTAGGTCCTGTTTGCCATATCCTAGCCACACTAATTGAAAACCACCTTTTTACATGTATGATTTCTCCTCCCTCGATTTGAAACAGGTAACCCAAAATTTTCCAGGGTAAGAAAACAAGGCTTCATCAGTCTATAAGTATCTTTAGATTTTAGAGCTAACTGGGTGGGATCCCAAAAATATCCCTGGAAAATGTACACACAGCTCTGTGTAGGAACTCATGTACCCTCCCTCCACCCCTGGGGAAAGGGGCTCAGAGCTTCCAAACTCCCAAAGCTGCCCGTGGTCTTCCTCCAAATGTTAAGAAACCACAGTTCACAGGTGACGAAGACGTGGCTCCCACGGGAAAGGCCGGTAGAGTTCAGGCAGTGCTCAGTCAGCCCCCATTCTGATCCTCCTGCCCCCGGCTAGCCAGCCCCGAGATTTCAACGACTTTAATATAATGGCTTTTAAGAAACAGAAACAAACATATATATAATTCTCAGATATATTTTGTCTTCATCTGCAGGTCCTAAACTGCTTCAGAGCCATGAAGGTGAATTAAATGAGTGTCTCATTATTGAAGTGACTTTTGGACCCCACCCAAGGGTGGAGGCTGTTTGCCAGGAGGATCCACCCTGTGATTAGAGGGTGGGAACACAGTCCCACCCCCAACTCAGGGAGGGAAAAGGGGCTGGACGTTATTGAGTTGCCTACAGCCAATGACCTAGTCAGGCAGGACTGTACACTGAAGCCTCCATAAAACCCAGGAAGAGAGCCCTGGGTTCCTTCTCAGAGCCTCCACTCTCGCGGGCCGAGGAGCCGGCCCCAAGCTCCCCAACGACCGAAGCTCCTCTGTTCGGAACCCCAGCCCTTACCTCTTCACCTGGCTGTTCGTCTGTACCCTCTATCACAGCCTTCAATAAACTGGCAGCTGTTTCCCTGAGTCCTGTGAGCAGCTCTAGCAAATTAATCAAACCTAAAGAGGCTGCTGGAACCTCCAACCTGTAGACCCCACAGGTAACATCCCGGGGCCTGGCACTGGCCCAGGAGCCGGGGAGGGCAGTCTGATAGGACTGAGCCCTCAACCTGGGCACTGACACCATCTCCAGTTAGTGTCAAAACGGAGTTGAATTGAACTGAATCCTCAGACAAGCTGCCTAGTATTTTACGTGGGGGGAACCCCCCATGCTGAAATTGGGTCAGGGAACCCTAAAAGAATGACCTAACTGTCCACCAATCCTCAGCTTTAACAACTATAGAGTATGAACTCTTGCTCACCAACCAAGTTTTAAAAGCTCAAGGACGCCTCACGTGAAAGTTGCTTCCTTGGACGTTCACAGCGCTGCGTCCCGCGGCTCAGGCGCCAGCCTGCCTGTAAGGCGGCCCCAGACTTCATTTCTCAACCTCCCAGGGTCAGTCCTACTTAAAGTTACTGTGAGATGCTCATCAGCTGACCAGTTGCCCCCCAACACCCCCAAAATAACCCACATCACTTTGAAATAGTATAGGAAGGACTCTCTCATCATCTCAGTCTTTGCTACACATTTTCAAATTCTTTCTAAACAATCTCTGGTCAACCAAAGACTTAAGAAATGACCAAAACTGTTTCCATGGCAAAGAACTTTACAAATCTGTATCTACTTCTTCCAATTATTGTTCGACTGCTTTTGAGTCTCTATATATGCACATTTAACAGTTACAAATGAAAAACCTAAATATTGCATTCACACATCTGCAAAGAGTATGAAGATTTAAGCTTTCGTGGGCTGGACCTGACTCCAAAATTAAAACTCCAAAGTCTTCCAAAAGAACAAGTTACACACACCACCAGTGCCGAACCCCGAGTCCCAGCCTTCCTGCAGTGTCATTGTCCTCCGGGTGGCCTCTGCCGGGTGGGCGCTCACACTGCTGAGGCCCAACAAGTCCGGGGCTGGCTCCTCAGCAGCTTAAACAGCATCACCGGGGCTCCAGCTCACCAGGCAGACGCGCCTCTAGACTTCAACAGACACGTGGTCGTTTAAGGAGCAGAGAAGCCAACGGGGAAGTACCAAGTTAAATTAAAACTCAACACAATGACTCTGTAATCAACTGCATAGCTGCCCATATTTAGACATTTACCGTTTGTTATAACTCTACATGTTTAAAGACATTACCTCATTTCCAGTTCTTTCAGCAGCAAATCTCCCCTTGTTTTTAAACCAAGGTTCAAGGACATTTCCAGAGCAATCAGTACTGATCCTAGGCTCCGGTGGGACAGCAAACCCCTGGTTCTGCTCCCATCCCCAAAGCCATTTTTCTAAGCCAATCAGATTCCAGAAAAGAGTAACAAAAGCCTTGAGAACTTTCAGAAGCTGCATCTTGCGGTTTCCTTGGTGATCATGTCGTCAATACAGCTCGCAGGCCCAAAGCCAAGTCATCATAGCAACCAATTCTTTTCAAGGACCTATCAGTATTTTCTGAAGGCAAGATCAGGCCCCAGCACAGACTGGTATAAGCATTTCCTATTCTTTTTATCTAAAGCCATGAATAAAAGTCTTAGCAGGATGTTTTCTGCTTAAAATTGGAGATGATGAGTACTTTATGAACTGGCTTCAGAGTAGCCCAAGCTGCCTTCATCGTGGCACCCCAGCAGCCAGGGCTGCATGGTCATCACACGGGGCGCAGCACGAGAGAATGTGGCCCACGGTCAGCAAAGCCAAGCCCCCAACCCCCAAGCCCACTGTGCCCAATTGCTAAGAAGCCCCCACCACCTTGCCTCCAGACCACACCCTCGATAGTCCCGTCACTCACAGATGATTGTGTGACTACTTTGGTCAACGAGGTTATCAGCAAGCCAGCAAAGTGGGATAAGCCGTCCGACACGCAGCCTGCCCTCCAGGAACTCTGCCTGGTAAGGCCCAGTGTAGCCTCCCAGGAGGGTGGAGAGCGCCTGTGGGGAGCCAAGACACGTGAGCCGGCACCCCAGCCCGGCCCACTCAGTGCCAGGCAGGCAGCCGGGTGACACAGTGCAGGGCAACTCTGGCCCGGCGCGCTGAAGACCTGCGGAACTAGCCCAGGTTTGAAACGCCTGTTCCACAGCCCTTCCACACTGCCACAGAGAGCAGAGAGGAGGAGAGGAAGGGAACGGGATCAGGAGAAAAAGGGGCAGGACCAAGGAGGGAGAGTCCGCAACATTTACGGGGGAGGGAGAGAAATGTCTGTCAAGATTAGTGATTCTTAAACTACCTAATAAGAAAACTTAAAATGAATTATTTTCTATTACAAACTACATTTTTCACTCAACAGACAAGTGTCCGCAGGCCGGCTTTTAACTCACCTGTAGTGGATCCATAGAGTACTGGAGTAAGATGCCCCCAGAATTTGTGGGAAAAGTCCGACACGGTTCACTCTGAGTACAAGTGACTTGATTCACGGAAAAGCCCAGCAACACGGATGGCCTTTGTATAACATACCATCAATATTACCACACTACCACTGTTACAATAGGAACCCACCCTAAGAAATGATATATAAATCATTTGTACAAATGGTCCTACTCACGGGAGATGGGAGACTTGGAAATATTAGTGCCACATTGAGTGTGACTCATGGAGCCAGTCCTAAGGCCTGAACTGTCCTTACAGGAGGTCAAAGCCTGTCACCTGTACTGGCCGCAAAGGCAAGTCTGAAAGCCAGGCAGGCACTGCCCAGCGGGGTCCGTCTCCGGAGCCTCGGGATAGGCAAGTTTCTGAGGAGGGCACATGCTGGTTGCTGACACGTCTTCTGCCTTCCCTCCAATCTGATCTCCACAAACTGCCTTCTTCATTGCCATCTGCCTCCGCATGTAGACTTGGGACGGAGGCCACGGAAACAGAGCTCACTGGGCAACAAGAGTTGTTTTCAATACACCTGACAGTCATCCCTCTAACCACAGCAAATCATCCCGGATCTGGCTGGCAGCTGTACTGCTGGCGAGTTTGATCAGCATGATTAGGTAACCCTGAGCCGGCAACAAGCCGCGTACAGACAAAAATTAAGCTTACAGAACTGCAGATGGGATGGTTAGTCCCCAAACCCTAACAGCTCCAACCGAAGCGGCACTGGAGTGATGGCTGGGAAAACATAGGCTCTGAAGTCAAGGAAACAGCACTTCCCCGACTGCGAGACCTCTCTGAACCTCCGTTTCCAAATCTGTCAAATGGGAATTTCATCATCCACATCAATGAGTGGATTGTTGTGGAGAGAAAGTGAGCTGTCTGAAGGGTACTTAGTCAACTGTAAAATGTTTGTCTATTACTGTAAACAACCTCAGCAGCCAGCTCACCTCCCTCAGCCACAGGGGGTTTTCAATTCAACACTACTTTTCCAAGGCTGAGTCACCACAACTACATATGAATTTAACCACAGTCCTGGTAAAACTTAATCTCAGCCATTACTAGTAAGAGATCTTCGGGATGAACTGTTTTTTTAAATTTACAGAAAATACAAACCTTAATTTGAACACATGCCACTTAGTCAATCACTTTCTAGTCAATCAAAATAAAGGACAACAGTAAAAAAGTGCTTATTTTGTAATGGTCAAAATGTGTTCATTTGCTTCTTAAAACCACTGTGTCCAAGCAGAGTTGCCTGGCTCTATATTCCCAGACAGAAAACAACCAAACCCACACTAATAAAATATTCAGAAGTCACAGTTTAGTTCAAAAAGTAACATTAGTACTGACCCTTTCTACACCCTTATTAATTTCAATGGAAAGTATGAAGCACTTACTTGCATTATCTCATTTAATCCCCTCAACCCTATGGAGTGGCCATTATTACTTCTCACATGGCCAAGGCTGACATTAAACCATTTTAAGAGGCCTACCACCGTAGTAAATACAGTCTCGCACATTTTCTCTGAACATTAGTGCAGCTCAGAATGGCAAAGAACTAGATTTGGCATTAACTAGAATGCTGCCAACGGCTTAAGTGTCCACTGTTTCACAGCTTGTCCAATACAGGTGACACATCACGTTAAGTAACTTAGGTGGACTAGATACTTCACGATAAGCCACTAATGGTAAAGGACACCAACACAGTGGCCAAAGGCAAGCTGAACTGCCAGCACTTAGCCAACCCAAGAGGAATAAGATGTTCCACAAGTAAACCTTCAATGGAACTTAAAAATAGAGCATTTTAGAGCTGAAGGGATCCAAAGGAATGCCAAATACCCTAATTTTATAAGAAAATGGAGACCCTCAGAGGTAGGGATTTAATCAAGGTCCCCCAAGGAGTTAGGGGCCAGCTATGAACTCACCCGTGGCTCATGTCCCATCATCTTGCCACTATCTGAGCACTACCTGGTCCACTGTGACTCCAAAATTTCACCTAAAGCACTCACTTCTACTTTTACCACCAAATCTTTATAAATAACGAGGCACACAATTTGACTCATCTGCAGTTTCATCTGCTTTCTTACACGGTTCATTCTCCAGAAATGCTGAGAAACAGCTGCCAACAGGAAGATACAGGGGGACAGCAAGAAGCAGCCTAGGACAAAACAACCAGCTCACAACAGTTTTGTTTAGTCTATTTTGGTTTAATCGCACAGCTATCCACGTTAAGGTTAGCAAGAAGCAGATAAGGAAGGCGGGGCAGGGAAATCATGCCATCCTTCCAAAGGGCTTCATTCTCCCGGCAGGGAGAGGCTCCGGGCCATTTGGAGAAAGGAAGTGAGATCTGGCAGAGAGAGCCTGGGCTTAGAAGTTAAAAATCAGGAGCTAGTTAAACTACTTAATATGATACTAAATTATTTATTCTCTCTGAGCCTCTATTTCCTTTATCTGTAAAAAAGGAATAAGGGTTGATGAAACACTAACAGGGGCAACATTTAAAGGAACAAAGCCCGGAAGAGTGTGCTTCCCCTTCTATTTATTACCCTATGTACGTGATGGGGTCCTTTCTGGTTTGAATTAATCAAATCTAAATGAAACTTAAAATTATGTTCTTCGTTCGCACTAGCCATATTTAAGTGCTGGAGAGCCACGTGTGGTGAGCGCATTGGGGAACAGAGACACAGAACAGAACCCCTTCACCACCACAGAAAGTTCCACACCCTCTGCCACTGCTTAAGTCCTCACTTGTCCGGCCACTGACAGCCACCCGCTCCCAGCTGCAGCCCTCCGAGGCCCGCACGGGCGACAGTCCGGCAGGACACACCTGAGCTTGCCTCTCCGTCAAAGGCTCTCCATTTCCTCAGGACCCCCAAGCCCAGCGCCCCACCCCCGCCAAGGCCTTGCTCCACTTCTGAGAATCAGCCTCTCTTCACCCTCCCCGTGCATCTCCTGTGTGGACGCTGGGCTCACCAGGACACGCACAGTCAACCCTGATGAAGCCCCAGATGACCATCTGCCTTTTTGGGCAAAAAGAGAAAACCTCACCTACAGGAAGTAAGGAGTTGAAGAGTCAATCCCCAGGCAGAAAACTGTAGGCTTGAAGTGGGAAGAGCTGGACCACCAGCCTTTTCGGTCTACTTTCAGAATCTGCACAGCCACGCTCGAGGAGGCCGCGGTCCCCTGATCCTGACCACCTCTACCTCTACGCGGCCTTGCTCCTTCCAAACAGCCTCCCCGCCAGGGCCAGCGATTCCTCAAGATCACAACCGCCATTCCCACCCCCCTCCTTAAACCCCTCAACCGGCCCTGCTCCCTGAAAGAGCCAAGTCCTGGGCTTCTGAAGCTCCTCAGGCCCCGGTCCCGTGGTCCCGACTTCCCTCACTGGCAACCGGTCCTGCTACCTCCCCACCCAAAACCTGCACTCAGCCACACCCACCACCCAGTGCCTTTCATTCCCGTCTCCTCAGAAGGCTTCCCTCACTCCTCCCCGCCCACTAGCCAACTCCTATCTTCCGCTGGCCCGGAGCAGCGTCACCATTTACTCAAGGCGGTGGTAGAAGCAGTGATTCAAGAAAGGGCCAAGGGCCTGAGTCTCAGGGGACAAAGCTGGATTCCCCCCACTTATGATTCCCTCCAAAACCCTGAGAACCTCTTTCATTAAGGGAGACAATACATCTCCAGCCGTGCCCCAGGATGAATCTGTGCTCCAGACACACTTCTCGGTTTCCAAATTGAGGTGCGCTCTCGGGGCAGGCCTCTCTGCCTTTCCACATACTGTCCGGCTGCCAGAAAGACCCTGGCAAAATTCTTAACCAAGAATTCAAGAATCAGCAACCTTGCTACCCGTCACTTCTCCTCCCCTCCAACAGCCCTCAACACCCCTTCCTGAGAATCCAGCTCCCCCCCCCAGCTGGGCCCATGCCCCTACACCTAACTGCCACCACATAACCGCCCCACTCCAAGGCCCGAAGGGCAGACACTGTGTGGTCTCCAGCTCCAGGGCCAATCCTGGAAATGATCAGGCACTTCAAAATACAAGGTTAGTCCCAAGATTGAAAATATGAAGCCAGAGAACCTCAAAGCACCTGATTTGCCCTAACACCCTCACCCCACTTACTTAGCTCTGCCTCCACATCAGATCTGTCTAGACTCTCCTGTCCGGCCTTGTCTCACCAGAATATTGTAAGTTAAACACTCCCTGCTTTGGCCTCAGTGCTAGACAAACACAATGCAAACACGGGAGCTGGGATCACTCCCCCCACCCACCCGCAAGGTTACAAAGGGTCGTCACGTGACCTATTATATGCCTCTACTTCTTTTATATTAAGAATTCACAACTCCAGAAGACTTTCACGGACACCCTGGGGTCAGTGGACCTCAGGTTTGAGAAACCCAAGCCCTGAGATCGGCCTGGAGGGGGAGCCCAAAGGGAACTGAACCCTCAGGGCAGGTGATAAAGAGGCAGAGGAGATGCCCGGGGATGGCGGCCCAGGGATCTGGGGGGGCTGGGGGTTGATGGCACAGAGGGCCTGGTGGCCCAGGGGGTTCTCCGGAGCCCTCGGGACGAGGGGAATTCTGGGACGGTCTCAGGGGGTTCTGGGGGAATCCTGAGGGGGTGTCTGGGACAGAGGGCCCCTGAGGGGGTCTCAGGGCCATGAACGGGCAGGAAGTCCTCAAAGGGTTTCGGAGTCTACCAGAAATCCTGAAGGATTCTGGGGTTCATGAGTCCTGCCAAGTGGTAGGGCCCAGAGGTGGCCGGGGACTTCGATAAGGTCTCTGGGGGTAGGGGTCCGGAGGAGACTGGGGCGAGTCCTGAGGGGGCCGGGAGGGATCCCGAGGGGGCCTCGGCGGCCAGGAGTCCCCATGGGAAGGGGTCACTGTGGGGTCCTTGAGGTGCTGGGGGGCCCGAGAGTCTTCAGGGGCCGAGGCGGATCCCGAGGGGCTCGGGGTCCTCAGGGCTCTCGACCTGGACCCCCAGGCCTCCCAGAAACACCCGCTCACCTGCGGCGCCGCCGAGACGCGGTCCGAGCTCGCGCCCCCGCCGCCGCCTCCCGCTCAGCGGTCCACCCAGTCTCCCGAGTCTCGCAAAGGCCGCGCACCGCTCGCGCTGGGCGGGGCAGGGCAGACGGCGGCTGCGGGGAGGGGCCTGCGCGCGCACCGGGGCGGGAGCCGGAGCCAAGACCGCGCGCACGCTCCGCCGCGCTCAGCCGCGACTCCCACGGTAGCCGACCGCGGCGCGCCGCAAAACTGCCCCCCGCACACCGGCGCTGGCCGCGCGAGGGTTCCGCCCAGAAACCAACGGTCCTGCGGGGGCCTGAGGCCCCGCCCTCCCTGGGAGCCCCGCCCCCTGGAAATCTCCGGCGCAGGCGCGGTCGAGGACGCGGAAGGATCCCTCTTCTGATCAGGCCCAGTGCGCGCGCTCTGTTCTCATCTGCAAAATGGGCGCGAGCGCGCTCTGCCGGGGCGTGGCGAGCACCAGCACGATCGGAAGCGCCCCACGCTTGTGCACACGTTCAATCCTCGGCCCAAGGTGGGCCCAGATCCGGGCAGGTCTCGCGTCTCCAGTAACGCTCTGCTTGCTGAAGACCCCTGCCATCTAAAATCGCGAGTCCCTTCCCCCAGCCCTGTGTTTTCTTTCAGAGTTCTTAACCCCTCTCAGAGATTACGTACACTTCCTTTTTTCTCTCTCCCCGTGAGAACCGGTACTTTGCTGGTCATGTCCACCCCTGGGTCCCCAAAGCAGGAACTGACTGCGCACGCGATGCCCAAGTGTCTGAATGTGTGAGTGTCCTCATCAAGAAACACTGTGCCCCTGCCCCGAGGCTGAGAATAGGCCAGCTTGGGTTCTGATCCCCTGAGGCCCTGTGGCTTGCACGATTGTGCCCCAGGTTTCGCATCTGTAAACTGGCGCTACTGCTAATACCACCTCCTGGGGTGGTTGAGGATTGTGCACAAATGGGCTTGGCACAGGGCACACTGCTGCATGAGTGTCCCCTAATGATCTTATTCAGGTGCCCCCCTCCCTTCCTCTGCCACTGGAAATCTTTCTCTTCCCTCAATAAGATCTAATCGGATCACAACTTGCGCTAACCAGCCTTCCCAGATGGCCGTCCCTGCCCTGCCAGAGCCAGCCAGAATTAATGATTACTTCCTCTCTCCTTAGCACATTTTTTTCTCTGCCTGGTTTTAAAGTTGGCTGTTAACACACACACCCCACCCCTCACCTCCCCACCCCCACCCCGCCCACGTGGAAGCCTCACATTTATGAGGGAAGCTGGTCTTACCAGTTTCAGCAGCCTGTGAACTTTTGGGGGCCCAGGACAGAGCCCAGAATCCTGTGGGTGCCAGCAGCTCAGAAATGAGCAAGGCAGAGGGGGCTTCCTGTGTGGTGCCAGGCACGTTCATGAGGACTTTGCTTATGTTCCTTCATTTAGTCCTCAGAATAAGCCTGTGCGGAAGGTGCCATCATTATTACTCCAATTTGACAAAGAAAAGCCAACGCCCTGCCAAGTTACCCTGGCAGTCCCATGCCCCACCCACACTTTTAACCACCACTGCGTTCGGCTCCCCACCCCCTGACACAGGCAGGCTTGATAGGCAATGCTCTGTGCTGAGTGCTGGTCATCTGCACCTGCGCTCAAGGAGCTCCCAGGCCACAGCATGGACCTTGATAAGCAGGACTCTATGGGCTAGGTGCTGTCAGAGGCCAGACCCAAGGGGCAGTGGGACCCCAGGGGTGGCGGGTCCCAGGGTGGTGGAGCTGGAGTAATCAGTTCGGCCCCAGTTGAGATACAGGCTGGAGGGCTCAGCCCCTCCACGCAAAAACTCAGCCAAGAGGCCTTACAAAGACAAGGCCAGGAAAAGGGATGCCTTAGGAACAAGCCCGCCTCTCCTCCCCTATATGCAGGAGAGACACAGCTTCTCAGGTTGCAAGGTGCACTGCCACCTGGCTGCCCTGAGCAACCTCAGTGGAGATAAGGGGACTGCGAGGTGCTGGCTTGGGCTGTACACTGCCACATATTGGGTGCTTCAGGGTGTAGGTGCCCGTGTCCTAGCCTCCACCCAGGTGGCATGAGCGTGTCTATTCAGCATGTGTGAAACAAGGGAATAAATATGTGTGTGCGTGAGACAAGGCTCAGCTGCCAGATTCTAGGGCCCAGACTCCATTTCTATACCAGTGGTGCCCAGCATGCAGCAAGTGCTGCCCAGGGAGACACCAGTGTGTCTGGGACGGATGTGCTTGTGTGTATGTGTACACATTACTGTTTATTGCACACTTACTGGGTGCCTCGCACTCAACTCTTCATACCATATCTTACTTCATCCTGTGGTCACCCTATGCAGTAGGTATTATTAGTCCCCCTTTAATGGTGAAAAATAGACACAGAGGACTTAGAGTAACTAGGCCAAGCTGAAACGTAGGCGTTTGCTTGAAATCGCTGCCGGAGGCTGTCTGGCTACAGAAGGGGCATTGCACTGTCAGAAAGGAGAGAAGGGACAGTCACAGACAGGGCCTAGGAGGGGTGCTCCAAAGAATGAACAGGAAAAACATCAGGAACCAGCTGACAATCCTGCCAAACCAGACAGGAAGTTACTGTTTTACTGTGTGGGAAGACCCACATTGCAACACACAGATGCCCTGCACTGGCATAAAGGCCGGATATACAAATATATGCCCTTGGACCACACCCCCACAGATCTCGGTACGCCCTCCCGCTGTGCATATATGCCCTTGTTACGCAGACATGCTGTTGACACTAAGGGAAAAAGAGTTCATTAAGCCTTTTAGGTCCTTGCTGTCCCAGCCTCCACATCAGTTTCCTGCGGAAGCCCTGGTGCTGCTACCACCTCTGGCAGGCTGGCAGGAGGGCTGTGTGGCCAGCCCTGGGTAGCAGTGGGGTGTGTGGCTAGCTGGATGGCTTTGCCGACAGAAAGGAGGCAGGGAGCTTGGCAAGCGCACCTTGGGAGAGTCTCTCTGCCCCACCCCCAGGGCATGCCTGGCTCAGGCCTCCACTCCACTGGTCCGGAAGTTAGCAACCGCTGCTCTGAGGCCTCCACTCACCAGTGCACATCCTCTGCCCCACAGCAGCCATGGTGTGGCCAGCGGAACCTGCATGGGCACTGAATGAACACCCCCCCAAAGTGTCCACTGTGCTAGGAGCTGAGCACATGACAGGAAATCCCGCCCCTGCCCTCATGGAACTGACAGGGTTGGAGGGGAACTCGGCATAAACTTATCTGCTGGGGTGATGAGGCTATGCAGAAAAAGGAAGTTGGGCAAGAATCAGATATCACTACAAAAATAAGAGGGCAAGACACAGGGAGAAATGTGCAAAACATACATCTGACTAAGGACCCAATCCAGAATATAGGAAGAACTCTTAATAAAACTGGGCAAAAGATTTGAATACATGCTTCACCAAAGAAGATACATGGGTAGCAAATAAGAACCCAAAAAAACACTCAACATTATTATTCACAGGGGAAACGCAACTCCAAACCATAACGAGACACCCCTACCCACTACTAGAAAGGCCCACATGCAAAAGACTGAGCGTGTAAAATGGTGCCCAGCCACTCTGGAAAATAGTTTGGCCTTTTCTTTCAAACGTGAACATGTACTCACATTCACACAACCCACCATTATCACTCTTGGATATTCATCTCAGAAAAATGAAAACTAAGTTCATGTGAAAACCTCACACACATGTTCACAGCAGCTATATTCATAATAGTCCCAACCCAGACATCCCTCAACGGGCGGGTGCCGCAGCCAGGTGGGTGAGCACAGCCCACAGCGTGCAGGGCAGGACCCCGCAGCTGCGTGAGAAGATTTTGACTCCCACACCTGCTGAGAGGCGTGCGGGGCAGAGGCATCCCCAGGACCCCAAAGCTGGCATAAGGGAGGAACTGGGTGAACCAGGCATCTAGGCTGCCCAGAACCTCAGCCTTTGCCTCTTGGCGATTTGCGTGTCCAACCTCGATTGTCACATGACCCACTGATTGGTGGGGGGATAATGACAGCGGGCACCTCTCCAGCCAGGTAGGGGCTCTGAGGAGAGGGCTCCAAGGGAGCTCGTGGAGTCAGTAACCAAGGTACTCCTTCCTGAGGGGTGCACAGGGCTTGGGACAGAGGTCCAATCAGCACCTTAGCCTCTCTCTTTACAAGTAGAGGTGCTGCATTGCTGGTAAAATTTAGAATTATTAAAGATGGAGGAACAAGAAAGATACACGACATCCCAGGAAGTTGTTACTATTTATTGAGCATCTATCTACCAGTGACGGGGCCATGGATCACAACCAATGGCTTCAGGAGCTCTGAGAAGGGCATCACCTCCTCCAGGAAGCCACCTGACTCCTGATTCTGCCTGCCCTGGTTGAGTGGGGAGGGGCTCCTCCCTGATTCCTACAGTACCTCTAGCCTGACCTGTGTGTTGAAGTCCAGACCATGCTCTGTCCAGGAGTTTGCTCTGATGATTCCTCTGCATTTCTGTTCTTCTGACCAGATGGGTGGTTCCAAGGGTTCCATTGGATTGAATTGAATGGCATCCCTTTGTGACTGAACAGATCTCAGAAAAAAAAATTATCACCTTTTTTGGGGTAACCTTCCCAAGTACCCAGACCCTCTTTGCATACATAAGGTCAGGGGTCAGGGGTTCATGGTCAGAGAGGTTATTTCCTTGTCTTGAGTCACACAGCATATCTATGGCAACCAGCTAATTAATGACCCATGACTGGAGTGGGAGGGAAGGTTGAAGCAGCCTCTGGGTAGAGGTGGGAAGCTCGGCCCTAAAGGCTGTGACATCCCAGCCATGGGAGAGGGGCGGGCATGGGTCCTTTGGAAGCTGGGAAGTGAGCTGGAAAAATTGCTCCTGTGCATATTTATAACTAGAAGTTTCTGTGAAGCCTGAGTCCAGCCCAGAACTCATGAGCCAAGCCCGGCATCACCCACCCACCCCCACCCACCAGCTTGGGTAAGTCTGCCCCAATGGATCAGAGCTGGCTGGAACTTAGCAAAGGCTTGGCTTCCCCACTGAAGGATGGTGGTTTACCCTGTCTGCCCTGGTGCTGCATCAGAGGGGTGTGGGGGCCACATTCACCGGGGACCCTTCACAGGACTCCAGAGAGGCTGCTTCCTCTGCAGAACTGGGGGGACACAGTTAGGGGACATATTGAGTAGCTCTGTCACTGACTCAGTGACAGCAAGGTTCTGGGGCTGAGAACAGAGGCCGGAGACAGCGTGGGGTTACAGAGGGGAGCTGGAAGTGGGGCTG